GAGAGACTCAGTGCTGAAGCAATGCAACCCATGCCTGGCTAGGGAGGACCCCCTCCTAACTGTGGCTACCAAAGGAACCCAGGCAGAGCACACTGTGGCTGAGACTCAGCTACGTAAGATAACTTCTAATATATTTTTGTTTTGGGACTTTAAGTTAAGGATTTTGGACTTTGAATTTTAATTCATCATGATAAGAAAATGTGATTTTGGAGTTTAATTTCTTTGAACATTAACTTGCAAGGAAATTTAATCTGGGGACTTTAATTTATGTCTGGGAAATTCATCATGGAATTCAAATCAGAGGCATCCTCAGTGACTGAGGCCTCTGTCATCAAATGATCTCAGAGCTGCACCTTAACCTCATTGTGGAACCTCTGATGAGCCACACATATGAAAAGACGGGACAGAGTCTGGAATGGGCCTGGAATAGAGATGAGGTTTCAGAAGCCTGGAAGATGGTACATTATTCTGATCTGTTTTCAAGCTTTCTGAGGACAAAAGCCCTCAAGGGCTCCCAAAAGGAAGCAGGAAAAGTGGTTGCTATGGGAGAACTGATCCCTGGAAAGCTGGAAACATCTTGGTGGTGACTAGCCTCCTCCTCCAAGCGGAGCCCCAGAGTGGCAGTAAACTTGAAGGTGAAGACCAGTGAGTTGAGAGAATCAAACCAGAGCAGGAAGTGCTGCGAGAGCACATCCTTCCCTGGCCTCACCCCTCCATGCAGGGACTCCTGAGCTCACTCATCCCAGCCCATGCTCCTCTTCAGGGCAGGAACAGCTCATCCAATGGGGTGATGGGGAAGGACAAGGGCCTGGGCTGCTCAGCCCTCCTGGCTCCCCTTAGTCCAGGTTTGCTGCAGGAGGAGCAGCTGCTAAGAGTCCAGATGCCCACGGGTGTGCAGGGAAGCTACCCCCCAGCTCCAGGGTGTCAGGCCACTGTTGCCACCAACCTCCACTGACATCAAAGACCATCCAACGCAGGGGTGGGTGGCAGCACGTGCAGCTGGCTCTCAGATCAACCACACTCCCACACCACTTTGTTATAAATAAACACAACATAAACAAAAAGGATGGCCTGATCTTCACCATCTGACTTGACTCATTCTGACCTTGAACAAGACACAAGGGGTGTCACTGTCATAACTGCTGACCTCCTTGCCAGCCACTGTGCTGACCTTTCTGCTATGCCTCTAAGCACTTGCATTTGTTTCCTTGCACTTGTATTAGGCCTGTTCTCTGTTTTCCACTAAACTTCTCAAGTCGAACAATTAAACCAGTCTCTTCAAGGACACTTTGTTCTTCCCCAGAACAGGCATTCAAACCTGCAGTTTCCCTCTAAGTACCACTTTATTTGCATCTTGTAAGTTCTGATAGACAATATTATTTTGCCATTCATATTTAAATAATTGTTTCTATTTTCATTTCTTCATTGACTCATCATTACAATGTTTCAAAAAAAAATTTTAGATAGCAGTTCATAGAGTTTGTGGGGAAGGCAGTAGTGGTTTCTGACCTGGGGAATTATGGCCAGAGAATACCATAAAACCAGATTTGATACTGATTCTCTCCATAAACCATATACATCATCTATTTTTACAAGCTTCAAAGTGTGCTTGAAAATAATACACACTCTCTAAACTGGACATACAAGTTCTCCAAGATCTATCTTTTTAAGCTGTATTGTATAACATCCTCGCTAATTTGTTTTTGCTTGAGAGGTTTGTCAGAATCACCTGTGACTGTGGGTGTGCCCATTCTTCCTCACACACCATCAATTCCGACCTCATCGTGAGGCTTTGTGTGTTAGAAGCTCATAGATGCAGAACTGCTCCTGGTGAATTGTTCTCTTGGTATTGTTTAATAGCCTCCTTCATCCCCAGCACTACATTTGCCTTTTTTCTCTTTTGTCTGATGCTAATGTTGTTAGGCTACTTCCTTTGGGGTCAGTATTTGAAAGGAACTTTTCCCACCTGCTATTGTATGCCTCAACAGGCAGCAGTGGCTCAGACCCCAGCTTGGTCTCTGATGAGCCATGCCAGTGACCAAAGATGGAAAAACTGACCATTAATAAAAATAACAACATGCCAACTATGTTTCTAACCACTGTGACTCAAATCCATCCATTTACAAAGAAACCAGGAGAGGAAAAGAAGTTGTTGCCCCGCTCTAGGAGGACGCAGGGAACCGTGCCATCATTTTCCTGCCTTTCCCACGCAATCTGAACCTCAAGGTGAAATTCCCTTCCTCACGTGAAAGGAAGATCCAGTGATGGAAGCATCATGTGACAAGGGGAGATGTTGCAAAGAAGGATATGATTCTTGTGTCCCTGCAAATGAAATACACAGCCCACGCACATGAGCACAGTGGCCACTGGCACCCCATCAAAGAAACCCAATCTCACCGTGCTGCAGCCATGGTCCCAACATCACCAGCTACAGAGAATTCTTACCAAAACAAGACCATGTGCCTGATCACACGTCCAGATTTGTCTCGCAATTCACAGGAACTGCCAGGAAACAAACGTGAAATCCAGGTGTGGTACCGATGCTCTGTGGGACAGTGGGGCTTCTTCAGAGAGACAATTAGAGAGAGGAAACAGAGACCAGGGTGGCCACACCACTGTAGGGCAAGGACTCCACCCCGCTGTAACAGGCAGACCTGACTTTGAGCAAGCTACTTTGAAAAGTTACGTTGTGCAGAGAAGCTAAAGCAGATACCTTAAAAGCAACTGAGGCCAATAGGAGAAGGGGACCAGGAACTAGAGAAAAGGTGAGATCAAAAAGAATTAACCTAGAAGGTAACACACACGCACAGGAAATCAATGTGAGTCAAGGCCCTGTATAGCTATCCTTATCTCAACCAGCAAAAACCCTTGTTCCTTCCTATTATGGCTTATACTCTCTCTACAACAAAATTAGAAATAAGGGCAAAATAGTTTCTGCTGGGTATTGAGGGGGTGGGGGAGAGAGGGAGGGGGCGGAGTGGGTGGTAAGGGGGAGTGGGGGCAGGGGGGAGAAACGACCCAAGCCTTGTATACACATATGAATAATAAAACAATAAAAATTTAAAAAAAGAAAAGTTACGCTGTTATTAGGGAAATCTTAACACTGACTAGGCACCTGGTGACATTAAGGAATTATTTTCAATTTTTTAAGTACACAATATTATTGAATTTACATTTTTCAAAAAAGACTCCTTACTTTTTTTAAAGCTATAGAAGGAACAATTTACAAAAGAAATTATACTGTCTGGCATGTAGATCAATGGAACAGAAAAACCACAAATAATCCCACACAGTTATAGCCAGCTGGTTTTTGACAAAGGTGCCAAAAACATATGTTGGAGAAAAGGCAGTCTCTTTAACAAATGGTGCTGGGAAAACTGAACATCCATGTGTAGACAACTGAAACTAGAGTCCTGTCTCTTGCCCTATACCAAAATCAATTCAAAGTAGGCCAAAGACCCTCATGAAAGACCTGAACCTTTAAAACTACAGGAAAACAAAGGGACAACACTGGAAGATGGAGACACAGGCAACAACTTCCTGACAGGACTCCAAGAGCTCAGCAAATAAGAACAAAGATTAGCAAATGGGACGGCATCAAAGTAAAAAGCTTTCGCACAGTAAAGGAAGTAGTCACTAGAAAGAAAAGACAGTTCACAAAATGGGAGACAATCTTTGCCAGCTATGTATCTGACATGGGATTAATAGCCAGGATATACAGGAGCTCAAAAAACTAAACTTTCAAAGACTCAACCACCCAACTAATGGACAAATGAACTAAACAGACAATTCTCAGAAAAAATACAAATAGCCAACATACCCACAATTGTTCAACATCCCTGGCCATCAAGGAGATGACATCAAAACACTGAGATTTCCTCACCCCAGTCAGAATGGCTGTCAGTAAGAAAACAGCCAGGGATTATGGGTTTGCATCCCATCTGGGGTGAGGTAATTAAACCACTGGGGCTGGAGTTATGGTTCAAATAGTAGAGCGCCTGCCTAGCAAGAACAAAACCCTGAGTTCAAACCCCAGAAAGAGAAGACAGAGAGAGAGAGAGAGAGAGAGAGAGAGAGAGAGAGAGAGAAAGTTCAAACCCCAGAGAGGGAGAGAGATAGGAGAGGGAGAGGGAAAGGGAGGGAGAAGGGGAGGAGAGAAAAGAAAAGGAAAAAGAAATGCTGACAAGGGTGCAAAAGAAAAGCCCTTACACACTATTGGTAGGAATGTAAAGTAGTGCAGCAACTATGGAAAGCAGTTTTTCCTCAAAAAACTAAAAACAGAACAACCATATGACCCAGCAATACCACTCTTGGGCATGTATCTGAAGGATCATGTGTCAGAATACAACAACAACACCTGCACACCCATGTTTACTGCAACACTAATTCACAACAGAAGGACAAAGGCCACATGTTCTCTCTCATATGCAGAATCTAAACTTAGAATATAGATACATACATATATACAAAAACATGACTATAATGGAGGGACTGTGGGGGTGAAGAGGGTGAAGGAAAGAGAGAGAGTGATGCGGGGTACAGAACAGTGCTGAAATACATTGTGTTGATGTATGAAGATGACAGAAGGAACACCACTGAAAAGTAAGGGGGAGGAGGGATGGGAAAAGAGAGCAACAGAGAGGATTTATCTGGTTAATACACAATATATGCATGTGTGAAACACCACGGTGTAACCCCTTTGTGCAACTAATATATGCCAAATACACTAAAATAAGGTATGAATGTATATGTATATATGTGTATATACAGATAGATAGATAGATATAAATGTAGATATAAATTATTCTGTCTGGGATTTGTTTTGAAATACACCTGGTTTGGGGGCAGCCCTGGTGGGGCACAGTGGACCAGTACTGGAGCCAAATGGTTGCACATGGATTGATCACACCAGTCTCTGTACATAGCAAACTTCACAATGACATGTATACACAAAGGTCAGCACAGGTTTCCCCGCATTCCAACATCACACAAGCACTTACCAGCATCAAAGGAGCCATCTTTACTAATGGGAACAAGGATATGGGACAGGGGCCCAGAGCTGGTCTTCCCAGCCCCGTGTAGCTGGACCAACTGAAGTCGTGGAGTCGTTGTAGACGGAAAGCGGTAGAACTGGAAGGTGAAATACACAGTCTGTGGCCACGGTGCTCCTTGGTAGTCCTGGGCCGCTCTGAATCCAACAACAACTGAGTTAATCACACATCCACAGCAGTGTGCCTCGGGTGTGCAGCATACCTGCGCAAGGACATAGTACAGGCAGCAGCAAGAACAACTTTACTGAACGTCCAGCAGGTAGCTGGGCAGCGGCCACTCCAAGTGTAATGGCCCTCCCAGCTGCCGATGCCGTTCTCAGAGCTACACTGAGAGTTGAGAATGGGGCAAGCAAGGTCCAGATTTTAATTAAGGGCAGAGACTAGGCAAAGCAGGTCGCCAGTACTCAGAATGGCTCTAGACCAAGTAAAAGTAAAAACAGATAGCAATGCGAGGGTTCTGACACAAAAAAATGCTTTACGTGGAAATGCTAATTACGCTGATTTGATCATTACACACTATACATGTATCAAATTATCACCCTATACCCCATAAATACATGTGATTATGTGTCAATTAGAAGAATTTTTTAAACACAACAAATTAATCAATTTAAAAAACAGACAGCACTGCTTAATCTAACAAAATGTGAACACAGAGTGCCCTGTCAGTTCAGACGCACACTACAGCTGCTCTTCAATACAAGGAAGCTAGGGAGAACAACACACAGGAAACTTCACCTGCTGAAGGCAAGAAACTGCAGCACTATCTCATTGCTTTGTAGACAATCAGATTCTTCCTTTTGAGGGCTAAACCTCACAGGATCTGCAGGACTGACAGCTTCTGCTGGTTGCTTGTTGGCGTCAAGAATCTCAGGAAAGCCAGAGGACTGCAGAAGAACCATGGCAGCTCTCGAGAGCTGGCTTCCAGAGCTGAAACAGAAAGACTCCTCAGCCCACCTCCCAGAACAGGCCAGTGGAGACAGCTGGCCCTCCATATCTCCCTGCCAGAGTCTGCTGGTTTGGTAGCCCGGCATCTGCTCAGTCCAACCCCGCCCTGTGCCACACTCTACCTCCTGGCCTGGGCTCGCACAACAATAGGGGCGTGCAAAGGAGTGAAGGGCAGCTCCTGTAAGTGTTCTGCAGTGGGTGTTTCCAAGACTGAGGAAGTCTGGCTCAGGTCAACTTCCAGGTGAGAGATCCTTCCCTCCAATGGCAACTCCAGCTGAACAAAGGTAAGGGCTCCAGGTAAGAACAGCAGGGATCCCGACAATGCTCACCTCCAAGGGAACTTATAGGCAGTCGCCTCAGCAACTAATGACATAGAGGGCTTGATCACATTTTAATTGCAGGTAAACAATGAATGATTTTAATATAAGTACATCCACGCAATACTTGGGAAATACTTGTACTAAAAAATTATTTGCTTTTTATCCGAAGTTCAAAGAGCATCCTATACTTCATGCAGCAGCCAGATTTATGAGTCAAAAAGCAATAGGGAAGAAGCCATCAATTTTATGAAATGGTCAGTATCACGAGAGACATCTATGCCCGAGAGAGTAAATTAATACCAAAACACATTTATGGGACATGCAAGGGGAAAATTCCTTCACAACTTATTCACCGAGCCTCTGGACATTGCTCTGATAGCCACATCCCCGGAATTTTCTAGTCACACACTTGAATCCACCTCCCACTTCCCTCTAGGGCAGAGGACAGCATATAGGAAGAGTGGATCTTGGGCTCTAGAATGCTCTCTCAGGCTGGACCCACACTTACTACACAAGTGGAGGTTACCCTCACACTGTGTCTCAAGTGGCCATAATAAAAAGGGCAGGCTCCTCATAAGCACATGAGCCACAGGAGTGCTTTAGAGCAGGGCAGTATGGCTCACGGTGCTGCAAGTGTTTGCAAATGAGTAAGGAAAAGGAACCAGCCAGCAGTGTGGTTTGCAGGTGGGCTGGCCAGCCCTGCATGAGTACTCCAAGGGTCACAGCAACACAGACCTATTGTGGCTCAACCTGGACCCAGAATAGGGTTCACCTCTCTCAGGCAGAAGAAACAGTCCTGGGGTACCAGAGGTTTGTCTGGCCTCCACTTACACCTCCAGTGACACTGACCTTCTTTTTTCATGTTGAAATCTAAGGGTGGCTGGACACTGTCGTCTCAGGCAGACCACGCCTAAACCAAGCCCTATGCCAAGAACTCAGAAGCCACTCGCTTGCTTGGTCTGAGACATAATGGTGGCAAAGGTCTGAGGAAGGAAGAACAGTGCCCCATCCCACAACCCAACACAGGAAACCCACCAAGGTCCCCATCATTTAACCTAGGACCAGACAGCACAGAAACACAAGACTTCCACAGCCATCAAGAGATGCACAGCTGCTCCTGCAGGGAGAGGTGAGGTAGGAGATTGGGGTGGGGGGGCACACTTACTGCCTGGGGGCTGTCGAGGGGCTGCAGAGGAGGTTTGGCAGAGCAACGCAGAGCTGGAGACTGTGAGGAGGCTGCCAGCTGGGAAAGCGACAACTGGAAAGCAAGAGAGCTCGGATGAGTCACTAGACATACTCCAGTCACCTCCCAGGGTTCCCAACATGCATGCACCAGCACAAACCCAAGAGAACAGAGGACAATTCAGGATCCAGCCATAGAAAAGAGTGGTTTGCGGTCTCACAGGCAGTGGCTATTCTAGAACCCAGAACCACTCCTAAATTTCTTCACTCTTAATTGTGGAGAGGTGCGATTCTGTGATCTCTCCCTCATAATCTGAGTAAAAAAGTACTTCTTAAGGAAAAGCAAATGGAGAAGGGAAGAGTCTCAGCTGTAAGGGTCAGCTGGCTATGCCCCTCTGACTACACTTCTGTCCCCAGACTGGACACCTCCGAGGCACTGTTCAACTCCAGCACCTGTGTCTCTGCCTGCTATGCCTCCCTGCTGAGGCAGTGAGCAGCCTGCAGCAGACACAGGCTCTGGAGACAGACAGCTGGGAACAAACCCCCACTCCAGCACCTCACTGTTGCCTGACCTTGAGCAAAGCAGTTGACCCCTCTTCTGCCTCTGTCTCTTTACCATAAGAAGGTAACAACAGGACCTAAACTGCTGGACCACTTTGAGAATGAAATAAGGATTCACAGAAAAGGCCTGTACAGTACTTTCTATAAAGGTTTGTATTTGTGTTTGGAAAATGAAAGTCACCATATAAAGGCATGTTGTCTTGTGTCCTGGACTCTATTTCCAGTGCATGCTGCCCTAGGGTGTTCATTGCAACAAGGACAGCTGGCCTAGAGGACTCAGTAGACAAAGACCAAGAGGACTGCATGCAGGGTGCAGGAAGCAATGGAGCATCCCAGCAACATCTTTAGGCAGAGAGAAAGATCTTCAGGGTCTGCTCAGCTCCCCTCAGGTCCCACAAGATGTCATGAGCCTTCCATGCTGTGTCTCCTGAACACTCAGGGGTGACGTAGGAACCACTGCAGGGAACATGCTGGGTGGAGGCCAGGAGGCAGCCTGCAGACATGTGCCTCTAAATGAACACATGTATCTGGACCCAGCTTCTGAGCTGGGTTCCCACAGTAGAGCCATCCCTGCATACAGAGTGGCTACTGAGTGACTCAACTTCCCTAAAAAATCAACTTCCAGGGTGGTGCTGGCAGACATTGCTGAGAAGAAAAGGCCAACTTGGACCTCATTCACAATCATGCAGCCAAAGCTACCCAGTGTTAGAGGTGACATTTTGGGCAGCTCAGGACCCCAGAAGCACAGTTGAGCAGGAGCGTCCCAGCCAGGCAATCTGCCAATGGCTACACTGGGAAGAGCATTTTCCCCACACAGGAAATTCTTGTACATGTTGGTGAGTGCTGTCCATCAGATGTAATCTGGAATCCCACAAGGGCCAGCTGCTGAAAGTGCCTTGGCAGTTCTGGGCATGGGTAACACCAGGCACCCTCTCCTAGCCAAGTTGGTCTGGAAGAGGGAAGAGTGAAAACCATGACCCAGTGTCTCAGGAACTCAAAGTCCTGAAGAATCTCACATTACACATAATTGCCAGGGAAAACAGAGAATTGTCAAAGTGTCGAGACACACTTTGGATAGCAAAATGGAAGATCATTAACAGTCAGCAGGAAGCCGCCACCCTGACAGCCTGGTGCAGAGTCAGCAAGTTAGGATCAGTCTGCAGGACATGGCAGGAGAGGACCAATGACAACACACACAGCCAGCAGCTTCCAGCCCCAGGGATGCAGGTAGGGACCAAGAGCTTTTTCAAAGAGGCTCTCCAGTACGGTACTCTGGACTTACCCCCGGTCCCATGGGCGAGTCCTGGGAGGCAGCAAGAGCCTGGGGTGCCGGTGACGGCGGACCTGAGGGAAACACAAGGGACCATCAGCCTCCACAGGGTCTGACCCCAGCATAGTCACTCTCCACACACTTCTCCACCCAGTCTGTAACTGGCACTAAGCAGCAATACCCTACAGTCCCAAAGCTGGTAGTCTGCACAAAAAGTGGCACACACAGCTCCTCCAAGTATCCACCCAGGAGAAGGGAACTGAGTGAAGCTGCTGTGAGCCCAGCCTCCTCCTAACGCCCACTCTGCCCACCTCCTTCCTTCTGGACCTGTGGTCTCACTAAGTGGAAGTCAAATGAACCACGATGTAGACATTTAAGCTGTCTGATGAGCTTACACACTGCTCTGCAGTCTCACACATCGCTGCCTGGGAAGAGCTGGGCTCTGCAGCTTGCCTGGCCTAGCGGTGCCCTGGCTGGGGCCGACCTGCTTTCCTGTTACTCAAGAGACTCTTCTGAGCAGATACTACAGAGGCCACTGCCAGGCTGGTGGCCCAAAACTCTCTGTTGAACGCAGTCCTGCTCATTCAAGGTGCAGGACTTGTGGATGAAGAATGCATGCAAGGCTCAGAAGGCCCCCCAGAAGAGTCAAGGCAGCCCATCTTGTAGGCCCACAGAGTGAAGGCTGAGAACAGCCTCTGACCCTGGAAAGGCTGAGGTTGTTTCCCTTGGGGACAGGGGCCCCCTGCAGAGCAATGGGCTTCTTCCTCCAGCCAGCTGCACCTGCAGCCAAAGGTGGGTGGGCGATTTTCTAAGCAAGTCATCCACAGCCATGTACCATTTCATGGCATTTCACATGTGCCTCATTTGCCCTCTGCCAAGGCCTCTACCTCCTACCAACAGTGTCACCTCTGTCCCCTTCGAAAGCTAAGGTATGGCCAGCATGTGATGTGAGCCCTGGGAAATAGTACCTGTGGGTGATCTGACTAGTATTAGAGAGTGCAGCCCCAGAGGCCAGGCACAGTGGCTCATGCCTATAATACCAGCTAGTTGGAAGGTGGAGATCAGGACTGCAGTTCGAGGCCAGCCTGGGCAAAATAAGCTGGGCATGGTGGTGCGCACCTGTAAGTCCAGCTATGAGGGAGGCGTAAGTAGGAGGACAGTGGTCCAAGGCTGACTTCAGGCAGAAACATGAGACCCTATGCAAAAATAACTAAAGCAAACAAGGGCTATAGAAGGGGTGGAGCCCTGGTATCCACGCCCTCCTGGGCTCACTGCACTCCCCTTCAAGGTGACAGGGGTCTATCCACTGCAAGTGGCCCCACTCCCTGGTGAACTTCCAGAATAATCTGAGCCTCCTGAGAGACCAGGACCTTGCCCCAGGGTCTTGTCCAGTCTCCTTGCTTCACACTAGCACGCCCTTGGCTCTCATCCCTCCCCTGTGGTATCTGCTACCAAAGTCCCCACATCACCCACACCTGTCATGGAATGTGTGGCAAACAAACTTCTCACACTTCCCTGGGAACCCAACTCCTCCTGGGCACACAGCACAGGGGAGGCCCAATATCCACTGCCCTGAAGAACACCACCAAGACCTGCAATCCCCAGTTCTATACTCTCTGCATGGAGAATGCCCAACAACTTTCTGCTCCACTATAAAGGGCAACAAGATAGAAACAGCAGCACCCGAAGACCATCTACCTCGGAGGAAGCTAATACAGGAAGCACCACCCTAGACCCAGCACTGCCTCACCCACGAGGCCAATGTGCTGCACAGAGTCTGCCAGAACCCACCTGGGGAGGTGCTGCAGGTTCACCCCAGGCTAAGAATCTGCTGGAGGCCCTGGGGAGACTCATTAATGGGGACATGATGGAAGGGGAACCACTTAACGTGACCTCACAGGTGTTGCTCACGGTCCAGCCACCTCCTGGACAGTGCCCGCTCGCCTGGCTACTCCTTTCTAACAAGCCACAATAACAGGGTTCTCAGGGAACTCAGATGCCTGCCAGGAGCCTGTGGTTCCAGAAATGAGCCACTCTGCTGCAGAGGGAGCTAGCAGTCCATCCAGCAAGCTCTGTTTCCCCTGGAAGGTTTCTTCTCAGGAAGGTAGAAGCAGATGCAGGTGCTGCTGACCCAGCCGCCCTCCACACTGTGCCCTTCTCAGGTTCCCGAAGCATCTTCTGCAGATGTCAGGGCTGCCCCCACCCAAGAGAGATGCAAGGTGAAACAGGAAGCCACCAGAGAGTCCTACTTTGTTCCACTCTAAATGGAGTCTCAGAAAACTCTGCCGGCTGATTTTGGTAACAAGGAAAAATTGCAGGAAAATGGCTCCATTATCTTCAGCTTAGAGAAAGCCAGCACTCAGGAACTGGGCCTCTGCGCATCCTCAGGGCAAGGAAGATCTCCATGCCCGGGAGGTAACACCATCAAAACCCATTAAAACTTCCCACACGAGCTTTTCCCCAAGAGCCTCAAATTTAGGTATTATATGGTATGTTTTTTTCAGGTAATTCTTTGCACCATGACTTGCTATGCAATTTTACCTTGCATGAGAACAAAACTGCATAACAAAGGGTCTGGCTGCCAATTTAAAAGATACCTATTGTGAGCCTACGGCAAGAGAGCTCAAGTCCCTGTCCTCCAGTGAAGCCCAGGCTGGGAGGAAGCACACCAAGAGCACAGCATGACTCGGTTCTGAGGCCTTCTGTCTTAGTGCTGCTGTGGTGGTTGCTGCAACTACCCTGATTCCTGCACCTGGCTCTGGCCAGGAAGCCCAAATTGTGCCACAGCACAAAACTGAGCAGAGAGCTACTGGACACACACGTGTGTGCACAAGGACATGTGTAAAATGTCCAGGGTGGCACTGTTGAATAGAGCAGAGCAACAGAAGTGCACTGGGTGCTTCTCCACACCCAGTGTGGAGGCCTCAACCAACGGCACAGCTCAGGTACATCAGAGAAGGCCCAGGAGAGAGAAGGGTAGCCAGTGCAGCTGGCTCATGACCACACACATGGCACAGGGCAATCCCATCTATGTGATGGGAAAAAAGGGAAGGAAGGCAGCTGTGTAGCAGGACTACTGCAAACTTGCTGATGCCCATGTGCCATTTGAGTGAACTGTGAAGGCCTGACCTTTCACCTCAGCACCTGTCCACCTGCACGTCTTCATGCATTCACTGTCAACTCAGTGCTCCCCATCAGGTTTGCCATTGTGGCCCTGCCAGAGCTGGAAGACACACTCCTGGCTGAACTACTGACCCCCATCAGCACAGGACTAAGAAATTAGGCTCCATGGCCAGCAGCTGTGAATGGCAGCTGCTTCTCCCAAAGAGTATGCCCTCAAAGGCTGGGTTTCCTCCCTGACCACAGGTGGTATCTGGCCAAGTCCAAGACTCTGGGGTTAAGAGAGTGGCCTGGGCATTATGAAGAGCACAGAGACCCAGCGACACACTACACTTCTCCTCAGCATGCTGAGCAGCTTCGGCCATGGGGACCCTGGGACACTGTACCACAAGTGCACCCTAAGTTGCAGAGTTCCCACAGGAAGGGACTGAATCAGCGGCCCCCACAAGGCCAGAGGGAACTGTGCCCCAAATGGCACCTGTGACTGTTGGAGTCAGGGAAAACTTGCCTTCCCAGCTGCAGCAGTTTCATCCTCCTGCATGAACACTAATTTTCCCTGACACTCTATTACTCTCCAGGCAGTCTCCATGTGCCGAAACCATTGTCAACAAGGTCTTGATCACCCATTCCAGTTCTGTTGATGTAGCTTTGAGAAGTCCACATACCCTCCATTTGACAGTAGGCCTCAGGAGACCAGGCAAGGACCTGCACTCTGTCCCCAACCCAGGCTTGTCATGTGTCCCTCTGGGTCACACAAAGATCCAAGGCTTGTTGCAGCCTCTGTCTTCTGCCACATTACAGGGAGAGGGAACATCTGTCAGCTCTTATAGCAAGCTGAGCAGCAGAAGCTACACTTTGAGAAAATCATGCTCAAACATGGTCACTGGGAAGCTGGGCGCCAGTGGCTCATGCCTGCAACCCTAACTACTTGAGACAAGATCAGGAGGACCACAGTTCAAGGCCAGCCCAGGCAAATAGTTCTTGAGATCCTATCTTCAAAAATGACCAAAGCAAAAATGAACTGGAGGTAGGTAAGCACCTGCTTTGCAAGTGCAAAATCCTGAGTTCAAACCCCACCAAAAAAAAAAAAAAACATGGTCACAGGGGTGAAAATTCCCCAGGACACACACAAGCTTCCTCCCTGCAGCCCAGGCAGACCTCAGCCTAAGTGGCCACAATCATGCATGTTGGACACAATCACCCAGAAGAACAATGCTCAGAGTGCAGCCAGTAGCACAGGCAGCACTCTCAAGCCATGCTCACCACTACAGCTCCCTGCTCTTCAAAGTAAGCTAGCATGCTGGGCTTTGTTGCTGTCTTAGTCAGCCCACAGCATGACAGCAGGGATCAGGACTGGGGCACAAGGCAGTGTTCCTCCAGCAACCCACCCACTTCCAGTGTCAGGTTAACAAGGTAAGGGGTTCCAGGGAGCACAGCTTGGTGCCCAATACCTTGCCGTGCGCTGCTCCATGTGCAAGGTCCACGCCTTAAGAAAGGAAACACAGAAGTAAGGAGAAAGGAGCAGCCACCTCCTTACCACCTTCCTTCCCTAGGCCCACTGCTCAAGTAGCCAACACACTTTCATCAAGTGTTAAACTGAGATATAGCCAGAGAAATGCACAGATACATGAACAGCTAGTGTAGGACAGGGCAGTGGTCTCCACCAGACATTATCCCAGGCTGAAGAATTTGGAGGTCCCTCAACACAACTGGGAATGCATAGTGCCCAAGCCAGGCAGGAGACAGCCTGCACAGGCTCTTTGTCCCCAACACAAGCCACCTTCCTGAGATGCCCACTACTGGGGGACAGAAAATCCATAGATAGGTAGATGAGGGGCAGTGATAGTGGAAACCACCAGACTCGTTGAATGACTACCCTGTGGTCAGCTACCCACAGGACAGCAGAGGCCCTAAAGGAGAACCAGAAGGGAAGGCAGCAGGAGGAGGTTGTTGC